CCCCCCCGCTCCATTCCCTGTGTCCCCACCATCATGGTGGCATACTGCCACTTGTCCCAACGCTTCTTCGCACTCTGATTGGCTGGCTGTCAGACAGACACACAGATTAAGGCTTTTATAATATTTGAATTATTTGACCAGGTGTAAAAAGGGTATTGGCTGGGAAGAGTGATTAAGAGCATTGTAACCGTCATGAATTCAAAATTGGTTCTGGATAAGTAAAAGCCATTTTACTTTATGTCTGTTTGGACACCAAGACAGAAATTGAGTTTCTGGTAACCTAAGTCAATACCTCAAGCCATTGTCAAAATTAAAACCTTCACTGGCAGTCTCAGCAGAGAAGAGCCACTTCCAGGTAGTGAACCCTGGTAACATCTTTGATGGCCAAGAGCTCCCGAAACAACAAAAACACCAAAGCGCGCAAAGATAAAGATATGGACACTGTTTTTATCATACGAAAGAAGCAGAGAAGCCACAGAAGATAAGCTTTCCCATCACCCAGTCAAAAGCACTTTGGCAAAGATATGTAGGGATACTTGACTGAGGCAGGCTGAGCTGTGGGTACCAGAGGACTTCGTTCTCAAAACTTAACCAATCACTCAACCTGCTTTCCACAGCAGCAAGCTATATGTTAAAAATAAATAAATACATAAATAAAGCAGAGTTATCCCACTATAACAAGTGGTCCAATATCATGCTTGCCTACCTATACTCTAAATCTGTCCAGAAGCACAACTGCTGTAAAATTCTACAATCAATTCACAGGAAAATACTATTAGAAAAATGTATCTTCCTTATTTTCTGTTCAGATTCTGCAATATGAACATTTAGAATGGCATTACTACAGGCCTGAATTGTAATGCATGTCATACTGAACATTCATGCAAAAAACACTCACAGTAGATCTCTGCTGAGAGCCATCCCTGCAAAACTGAAACATTGTAAATGTTTCAGCAAGAAAAGGGTGGAAGGCCTTTTTATTGTTGTGAAAGACACACCTAAAGCATTTAGATAACAGGAATCCTGATTCCACAAATTAGTTCTATTATTATATTCCTACAATTAAAGAATTACAACGTTTAACCTGTATACGTCACGTTGTTTATAACTAAAATGCCACTGCTCCTAGACAAGAGTTTCCAGCCCCTGGAGAATGCACAGCTATTGATGAAGCTGCTAAGCAGGGCCAAGAGAGGCAAAAACTCTAGTAGTTATTTCTAGGCAGTATATTACCTCTCTGCTCACGGATGTGCAAGTAACAAAGGAAGTGAGCTAATGACAGATCAAAACAGACCCAAACACTGATACCATCATTTAAAGAGACCATACAAAAAAGTTGATTTGTGCAAGGGAAGCAAGACTGCCTTTTAATAATCCTCAAGTAGGTTTTTCTTCTTAAATATCTGGAGTTTGGGAAGAGTGTGTAGTACACTGGGAACCATGGAGGACTGTTCCAACTTATTTGTATGCCAATTTTTTTAAACATCTGCTTAAGTTGCTTTGACACCGAATATTTTCCAATGTTGCTCACATAATCATATATTTGTTTAAGGAGCCAGGTCCAACATTGCCATTATATCTGTATATAGAAAAGCTAAACATTTTTCCTGCCAAGCAAACATCTAAAGCAACAGATCATGCCAGAAATAATTCCTTTTTTTAATGCATTTTTTCATCTTACTCCTGTCTCCTACATTTCCTCTCCATATTTTAAATAGATTTCAAATCCTGGCTCAGTTGTGTGGAGCTGATGTGTCACTTGAAGGACACAGGCTATTGAGCAACTGATCACTGATGTTTCTTGAAACCCCACCCCTCCTCCACAGCCCAGAAAAGTCACATGATGAGCTCTGAAAAGTAGGTAAAAGGTTATGTAGTTGCAGAATGCTTTGCAGAACAACAAAAGCTCAACTTGTCGTTTAGGCTGCGGGCTATAGATCCTTTTTCATTGCTTCAGCTCTACCAAATTGGGAAGTGCCACTACTAGTATCCCAGGAGAGTTTAAAAATCAGACTTTGAATGCATTCCCCATTGAAAAAAAAACAACCTAAGACCCTAAGAGACAGACCTCAGGACATGAATGAAGCAGACCTTTAAAGAAGGAAAGCAAAACAGAAGTCAACCCTGAACTCATCGTTTGATATTTAAAAGTTATTCTGCACAAAGTCAAACTGAAAAAAACAAAACAGTTTTCCCCTCATTGTTTTTAATTACAGTTAAGTCTTAATTGGAAGCAAAATAATGTATCCGATTGTAAAATGATTTTTAAAATAAAATTAATCAAAACTCGTGGGAGAGGTGATCTCTTTTATTAGACCAACTAGATATATGCAAACAAATTATTTTATTTCTTTGCAAGCTTTTGGGCATGCTCACCCTTCATCAGGCAGCAGGCCTGAAAGTTTGCAAAGAAATAAAATAATTTCTCTGCAAATATCTAGTTGGTCTAATAAGAGATATAACCTCTTCTATGAGTTTTGATTCCTTTTGCCTTTAGACCAATATGGCTACAATCTGGATACCTTTTAAAATAAAATGCTCATTTAAAGGAAAACTCTTGAATTCATGTTTAACGCTCCAAATCCTAGGCATTAAAAAGCCTGGACCCTTACAATTAGATTTCTGCCAAGACTTGCAGAACTTGAAACCTTTTCAGGACTGGACTCTGCTCTGCAAATATATCTAGATTTCCTCTGCCTCCTCACTGTTGTCTCCTCAAACTGATATACCCAAATTCTCTCTTCAACTGCAGACAGAAAGATACAGAGGTACAAAGTTTAATAATTTCCAAAGCCAGCAGGTATTTAAAGAGTTACACTCTGTATTTTACTAATATATTAGTAATAGTGTTTTTTCCAAATTAAAATATACTGCAAAATATTTTTTAATAAACAACCAAAAGGAACAGCAACCTGCTGACAGGTAAACAATAAGAACAAGTATTCCTTTTAATTAAATTTCTCACCATTAAGTTGAACAAGGAAATAAATTATATGAAAGATGATTAAGATAAAAATACTTGTAGATCCAGAAACTCAAGTCACCAGACACTCTGGAAAAACAATAGCTAAGAGGAAAAAAGGAGTTTAAAAGCATTAAACAGATTTTCCCTGTACTCAGACATCACACTTGAAAAGACACTACAAGGCACAGAACAATCTTGCCCATTGTACTCTGCTCCATAATCCAGCCTTTTCAAGAATAAAGTGCATTGACTGGCCACATAAACCACAGATGAGTTAACAGGTGCTGACAAAAACAGGCGTAATACTTGACATTTCTTTTTTAGTTGTTTGGACTATGTCTACACTATTGTTTCCACCTCTCCCTCATCCCCCAGAAATTACCCCAGCACATCTCCAACAGAAGAAGTACCAGGATAGAGACCATACTAAATCATATCTTGAGCAGTGTTTTATATGGGCTACCCTGCTGGGGTCTGAAGACATGCCTCACTCCCATGTCATTTCTGGATTTTAATAGTTAAGGTAGTGACAGGTATAAAATGCTCCACTACCCCATTCAGATAATCTAAACAGATTGGAACAGTAACCCATTATTGGATTAAAACAAA